TGGGAAGAATGAAGAGAGATACAGCAGCTTGTTTGGGAAGGGAGTAGTGTCAGATCTCAGAGGGCCAAATTGCTCTTCTAGAAGGTATTTTAACAAGGAGTTTATGCTTTCTGTTCCTGCTTTCACAAAGGAGTAAGTCCATAGCTTCAGTTTTGCAGTAATGTGCATGTTGAGATTTCAGTCTGAGGTAGGACAGTCCTGGAGTATTATTAACTATAGAATGATGAGTAATAAAGGAATACTGATTTATAAGTCCTCAAAGGTTGTAAAACTGGAGGGTCTGTAGTAGTTTGAGAAGCTCAGTTGATTGTCAATCCCTGCGTGCATCTTTAAGAGTTATCTGTGGAGTGGATTGAGAGGCTTACTAGCATGCTTACAAGTAGACTGGGGAACCGGGTACTTTGAGTTGTAGATCAGTTTTGAGGGAAACTCAGCTGCTTAAATGCTGTTGGTTTTAGAGGCAGGGTAGTTTTGTGCTAGATATGAGGTAATCTGATGAGCGTGGGTCAGTCTGAAAAACATTACTGACAATCTCTAACTGATCAAAACAAGGTAAGCTCTTGGTCTGTTGCCTGTGCAATATAAATAGTAGGATGAACACTCATTAAAGGATGAACATGGAGGCAAAGGTCTAGCTACCAAGAGCCTGTCTGACTAGTGCAAACAAGGGATTTTCCAACACTTGTACAGGCCAAATGATGCAATTACTTTGAAAACTTTTGCATTAACAGCATTGGATGCCATCTCACAATAAAATACTGAAGAAATTTTTTTGTAACCCACTAGTAGAAGTTATCTATCTGGTAGTGTCTTCAATTAGATGAGTTGCATGAAAAAGTCCTGTGCTGAAAAGACGTCCTGGAATGTGCAACTTGTCAGTATATATGAGGAAATCAGAAAGGAGGTAGAAAAGGAACTTCTGAGTGAAAAGAAAACTTATCTGCAACAGATTTGAACATAAAGAATAAACACAGTAATATTTGGATTTGAGCTGAGTGTTTGCAAATCAAGATCTCAATTTGAGTACTGATTTTTTTCCTTCAGGGATGTTGAAAATGATGGTGAAAATCCAACTTTTTAAGTGTGCAAGCAAAGAAGGTCGTATTTCAATCTTAAGTTTGGAAAGGAGAGTAGCTAAGCTTTCTTAAAGCACTGTGTCTTGTGTGTGGGTATCTTAGGTTAAATTAAGGAGATTTTTAAAAAAAAAAATGTGGCCTTTAAAGTGACTTGTGCATTATAAGCTTCTAAAACTGTGTTTTAGAGTAGACATGTGACTTGCTAGTCTTTGAGCAAAACAAATTCTTGAATGGAGATATTTGTGTCAAAGGAAATACTAACCTTTAATAAAGAATTCTGGAGTCATGGTGAGCCCTGAATATCAACATAGTAATTAACTTGCTAGTTTAAACTCATACCTTGATTGTTCAGCAACCAAAAGAAGTTAAATAATGATAACCAGAGATATGAATGCAAATAGACTATGTGGTTGTTCTCACCTGGGTTTGGGAAGGACAAAGTAGGCTTACAGATACAAAAGAGGATGATTCTGAGAACTATCAAAGTAATTTTTAAAGAAGTGATTTCTTGGCCTGGGAGGAACGGCAACAAAGAATGCTTGTCGATTCTAATAAACTTTAATGAGTAATTGCTTCCATTATCTCTATATGGTCTGTTTGGGAGGCAGCCTACTGGTTTATTTAACAAGTTTTATAGCCATTCTAAGCATAGCATCAAAACATCAAGTGATGGATATAAGACTTAGGATGCCATACTTGAGAATCTTTTCAGATGACTTCAACAAACTGTCTTCAGTATGCGAACTCTTTATAATCTGTTCTGTAAACAGAGAAGGTGAACAATAAGAGCTTCTGATATTTTTAAGTGCTCTTTGACAGTAACTTGGATGTGTGATTTTCTTCCTTCAAATTATTTTAAAACAGGTGGCTTCAGTAAGAGTTGGGATTTCTTGTATGGAAATGTTTGAGGTAGTGTCAAATCTGAGTTAATGTGGTTAATGCAAGTTGCCTGTCAGTAGGCAGTAGAACCTCTTCACTAAAAAAACTCATGACTTTCTTAGTTGCTTTGATTCATTTAACTGGAAGTGCTAACTTGATTTATTTTTTTTATTTATTTTCTTCAGCTAAGAGGAGATGGACATCATCAGAACATGACCTTAAAATAAAAATAGGAAGGGAAATACTGTTGGCAAGGAACTTAAGATCCTGAACAGTCATAAAAACATCTAGTGACAAGTAAAAGTGGGCCAGAACCTTGAGTTTCTGAAATACAAGAATAGAATCTGTGTGATTTTTGTCTACTCTTATTTACCTTTTAGTACTGAAAATTAAACTGGTGTGCACATGATCATCAATGGATCATTACTACTTTAGGGAACCATGTACGAAATGACTAAAAGTTAAGTCCATATGACAAAGACTTCTTCCTTTATCTGTAGTTTTGTCTGAAAAAGTTTTGCATGACACTACAGTGTTTCCAAACCTCAGTGGTATCTAAAGGCTGCTGTCAGAATTTGGCTTTTGGCAATTAATGAAATTTACAATTGCTTGAAATATGAAACTGACTGTGTAATATCCTCCTCGTGATGAAGTAACTGAAGTCTGGTTTTCCTGCATGAGTTGTTACTTTGTTGGGAGCAGAGAGTCTCGAACAGTCATAACTTTTCTTTCATGTTCTGCTCAGACCCAGCATTCAAACACTAACAAGACTACTTGAAAAACTAAGTGTTTCTCATTTACATTTTAACAGTTTTCCAGTAAAAGATAGGCTCAAAACTTCCAGTGCAACTGTATGCTTCTTTCCATATAAGGTTATTAGATATATTCCTAAAATCATGCATTAACTGTTAGGTTTTGGGTGACTTGTTTATAATGATGAACCGTGTTATAATTGAAGAGAACCTGCTGGCTTCCCTGGGACTCAGTATTCTCAGCCATGAAAATATGGAGCGTGTCCAAAGTAAACGCACGTAGATTTGCTGTAAGATGGGTGTTTGCAATTGAAGTAAGTGACAATCTATAGTGAAAGTAGAATATTGTGTTTGATAATGCACGTGGAAATACGAAGAAGTTTTGTGCTGGATTGCACTGAGCAATGTATTGCAGGGTCTGGAAAAGAAGAATAAGTCTTCTATGTGAAATCTCTAGAACAATTTTAATAAAAAACTGTATTAGTATAGGTGAGTTTGTCTTGTATTTGGAGTTAGAATGTGTCAAAAGACAAAATAAACATGTAAAATTGAGGGTAATGTTCTGTTGGCTCTTTTCAGGGAACAGATAAATGAAGAACAAAATATAACTGATGAATGTTCTGTGGTTGGAGCTCTATTTGAAGTATCTTCTTGAAAGCCTGTAAATCTTGAGAGCAGCAACAACAAAACTTCACTGCTGAAAATATCCATGCAATCAATATAAGAAATGACACAGTGTTCTCAGCGCACAAATGAGCTGTTAGAAGTACTGGTAGTAAAAAAGTTCCTTTTCACTACTCCAAAGGAGGAGTAATGGCTATTTGAGTACCAATGTGTAATATGTATTTTGCTAAAGTGCCATGGTCATCTTTATGTAGCTAATGCTTCTGATCATTAGAAGTAGACTTAACAAAAAAAAATCCTGATAAAACAACAAAAAATCCCAACCCAATTTAAATGGAGACAAAACAGCTTGTCTGCTACCAAGTAGAATGAGTCATTTTTTTAATGCTGCTGGAAGTCTAAGCAGCTTTTGTATAACTTTCCTTCAGGTGCTTTTCTGTCCGAGTAGTTTGCAGTTAATATTGCTGATCATTCTGTTAATCTTCAGTACAGAGTAAGATTCAGTGCAAACTAGAACATCATGAATGGGTGATTTCTGAACAAAAAATATCTTATTACATTAATGGCAGTACAGGTTCTGAAATACATTAGTTTATATTTTGAGATTTCAGAAATAAAGTATGAGCCTTCTATATAAGGTAAAATTGTTATCTTTCAGAATTATCTTTCACTTTCTAGTATTTCACTTCATGCTTAGATGTAGTAATGACAAGTTGAGAAAGATTTGAAGAAAAGTTTAAATTGAGAGTTTGCATAGGCACTTCAGGGCAGCATTCTCAGTGATGCATGTTGGTTACAAAGGTATAGAAACAGTAGAGAACATTCTTTCATTACTTGTAAATTAAAAATATTAAATATTCTCTTTTTGAAAGTTGTTTTATTGCTGTTTTGAGATTTCTGACTTCTTTTCCCCTTACCATCCTTTCCCACTGACTGGCTTATCAGCTGTCTTAGTTTCTAATTCTGTTTTAGTTTGATTTATTTGTGCTACTCAGTGTTTTCATAGAATTCCTGACTGATGTCAGTAGTATACCAAAAGAAATCTTTATCTGAATCTTTTAATCACTTGTTTAAATTACTTCATTGACTTACCTATGACTTGTGGACTGAAAAATTGTTGGGAAATAGAAACCTTCCAAGGGTGGATTCACATAAAGATGTTCAGATGTTTTTTTCCAGAAACAGGATTTCTATTTTAAAAGGCTTAAATTATGCCTTTCTTGTTAGGTCTTCATTAGTGTCATCTTAAGAAAGGAGAAGTAACTGAAGTATTTAAATTTTTACCTGATGCTTTAGATCAGTAATCAAGCTGCAAAAATACCATGTTGGAATGTTTTCCAGTAAACATGAACATATACAGTGCTCATAACTAGTTAACTTCCTGGAAGATCAGTATACTAGTTACACAGTCTTCATGTTGCTTTACAGAGTGCTGCATTTTGACGTTTGTGTTCTCAGAAGTATGACTGATCTGTATCTAGCTTGGTTTCTCCTGAGGCAAGCTTTTGTAAGTTTAAGCTGTGTTTTTACATGGCTGTGGATCAGGTAAAAGAATATGGTTTCTCAGAGGAAAGTAGGATTTCTCTTCGTAAAAGGCAAGCTAAATGATGAAGAGGTGCATAAGAAGTCTTCACATTAACAACTAATACTTGTGTGGGTTTTTTTTTAGGTGCCTTAGCTGGACCAGTTGTTGATCCACATGTGACAGCAGTTTGGGGGAAGAAGGTTGCACTGAAATGCATAATTGATGTAAATGAAACAATAACACAAGTTTCTTGGGAGAAGATCCATGGTAAAATTTCAGAGACTATTGCTGTTCATCATCCTGAATATGGAATTTCTATTCAAGAAAAATACCAAGGAAGAGTGTCATTTAAAAACTACTCACTTACTGATGCAACAATCATCCTAAAAAATGTAAGCTTTTCTGATGCAGGAGAATATATCTGTAAGGCAGTTACATTCCCTCTTGGAAATTCACAGTCGTCAGTAACTGTAACAGTATTAGGTAAGTAAACTTAAGGAAAAGAATTGAAATTAATAGCATCAACTTATTAATATATTGTTTTACTTTTAACCTAATTGCTATGGAAAAATATATTCGCTCATCTTTTGAAGCAATAATATTTTGGTATTCTTACTATCTTTGAGAATATGTCTTACTGGCCATGCTTCTTTAAAAACTTATGTTTTGATTGTCCTGATACCTAGGTTCTTTATAGGTATATTGCTAATCCAGACATTTGGACAATGCTTTTTAGAATTTAAACTTGGAGACAATACTAATTCTAGGGATCTGTGTGTGTGCTTGCTGAGAAGCTGTTGAAGACAGTATTAATCTTCATTTCCCTCTAAGTTTGCTGTTAGTATGGTAAGTTAATGACATTGGTTGGGTTTGTAATATAAATTGTTGAATACACCTTGTAAGTGTAAAGTAGAATTGTTCAGACTATTTCTGGGAATTCAAGCCCTTGTATAGTTATGTAGTTATCTAATATGAAACTTATATAAAACTTCACCTTAAATTTTGTCTACCTCATTGAGAGTCCTGTGTTGTTGTGTTCTGTTGGAAGGACCAGTACTGAATACCAGGTTAACTTAAATAGCTGTGCAATATGAAGTGAAACAATTATTTTGGCCTAATGACTTAACTGTTTGTCATAACTTGTCTTCTAACAATCGAGGTATTTATATATCTATTGCAGGTAGTCAAGTGCTGTTTTGTTCAGCAGAGCTGACCTTCAGTGACTTTCTGTACATTTTTTTTATTTTTAGGGTATTCTTGGTTTCTGATGTCTTCCAAAATAGTAGAATGCCCTATGAAATAAATCAGATGATGTAACATAGTATGTAAACTGACTTCCACCACAAGGTGGGGCAAAATAGATATATCAAAGCAAATGACTTAATCCAATTTAATTTCATTAACTTCTCTAAGAAAGCTTTGTTTGTTACAAAACATGTAGTCTTCTGATTCTTTCCTGCCTCTATTTCACCTGTTATGACTTTGTCTGTGACAAGCAGTCTCTCAGCTTTTGGGTTCATTTCTAACATTAAACACTGGGAGGTTCTTACTGCTATCCCTCATCTCTTCTGTTTAGTCTTCCTCTGATATTCTTCACACCTTACTAGTAGCTGTCTATTTTTGCCCCTTTGGGTCTTGTGTTTTTTGAAGTACAAAGAGTCCCTGCAACTTGGAAAGCAAATCCATGGTTGGTGTGCTCATTGTTCTGCATCTGAAAATGTAGGACTGCAGTGTGCTTGATAAGTTGTATCTAACAGCATTTGTTAGAACATCTGAAGTATAGTATGTCAGGTATAGTGGTCTTGATCATGGCTTATTTTCTTAATGATGTAGATAGCTACTGATAGTTGTAAGCCTGTCAGTGGCATGGTGTCAGCCTCTGATCTTGGAAACCTCAACCAATTCTTCACCAAGTTAGTAACAAACATGCATATTTGAGTAGTAAATCTTCAGCGAAATACAAGCTGTTATGGAACTGGGATAGGGGTATTAGGAGGACAAATATATAAATAGGTCAAGCCTCTCCTGACAGAAGTGAGTCTAAATATTAGTTTTCTTCCTTTAATTTGCAGTCTTAACTGCTTGCTTTTCCATCCTGATTAGCAGATGCTTAGCTTACACACAGAGCTGGGTAACTTGGGATTGACTCCTCAACGTTTTCTGTTCTTCTGACAGTTTTTTGCTACAGTGGTATCTAGAGTTAAGTAGTAAAAGCAATAGGGAAGTAGTGGTTCAGAGTGGTCTTTGGGGTTTCGGTAGCTTGAGTTCAACTGCCAGAAGTTCAGGTCTGTTTTAAGGCATAGAATAGCTCCAGTCAGAACTTAAAATCCTGATGTGATTTAATCAGCTTTATTTTGACTGTTTTCCTGATGTTCTAAAAAATTGTCCCATGAGTGATAAAAGTCCAGCTGAGGTTGAAACTGGTTGTTTCCAGTAGAAACATCACCTTTTTACCTTCTGGTTCCTATTTAGTAGGGAATTGATTTGCTTACTATGCATAGCAGGTAGATTAATTTAATCTAGTAATAGGTGCTATTAAAATGTAAAACAGAGGGACTGAGGAAAAAAATAACTGCAAGGTAATGTTGTATTTTGCCACAATATATTGGTCACTTAAGTTGGTGTTTAGAACCTTTATCTTATGTTCTTAAGCTTAACAGATGTAAATGAAATGACTTTGCTTAGTCTATTTGCTTAGCTTAGTATTTTGTTACTTTAAGGAAATGCACTGTAAGAGGAGAGGTAAAATGAAGAAATGTAAATGCTTTTTTGGGTCACAGAGATTAATTAATCTATCTAAAACTATAGATCTTAAATCTCATCTTCTATTAGCTAGAGCAAAAAAGAAGTTTTATGTCAGACTGTATGTTCTGTGCCTTCCATTTCTCAAGATAGTGACTAAACTGGCTAAAATGGTCTTTGAAGAAAGAAGAGATGGTGTATAGCAGAGGTACTTCTGTTGCTAGCTAATCGAATACTATATATGATGATTTAAATAATTGGTTTGGTTTTTATCCCACTGTCTTGCAAAGCTAGAGTTCAGAATTGCAAAAAGCAAAGGCAAGAACTGAGAGAAGGAAGATTTTCCTTCTGTAAGTGAAGTTCAGGTTTGAGACCATCTAAAGAACCTGAAGGTGCACAAGTCTATGGGATCCATTCATGGGTTCTGAAGGAAGTGGTGGATGAAGTTGCCAAGCTGCTATCCATCGTATCTCAAAGGTCATGGCAGCCTGAAGTTCCCACTGAGTGGAGAAGGGGAAATGTAACCTCCATTTTCCAGAAAGGAAAAAAAAATCCAGCAAATTACAAGCCAGTCAGTCTCACCTCTGCCTGGCAAGATTGTGAAGCAGATCCTCCTGAAAGCTCTGCTTCAGACACATGGAAAAGTAAGATGAGGTGATTAGTAACCAACATGGCTTCACCAAGAGCAAATTGTGTTTGTGAAACTGGGTGACTTTTTACAATGGAGTTACAGCATCAGCGAATACATGCACTGTCCTGCATGAGATCCTGGGTAGGGAATGGGCTCAATGGTCACACTCAAAGCTGTGGTCAATGGATTGGTATCCAAATGGAAGTGACGAATGGCACTTCTCAGGGATCAGTGCTGGGTCTGGTATTAAGTAACACCTTTGTAAGCAATGTGGACAGTGGGATCAAGTGCACTGCCAGCAGGCTTGCAGATAAGACCAAGCTGAGTGATGCAATTGACATGCTAGAAGGAAGGGATGCTATCTAGAGGGACCTGGACAGGCTTGAGAGGAGAAGTCATGAAGTTCAACGAGGCCAGGTGCAAGATCCTGCACCTGAGTCGGAGCAATCCCAAGCACACATACAGATTGGGTAGAGAATGGCTTGAGAGCAGCCCTGAGAAGAATTTGGGGGTGTCTGTTGATGAAAGGTTCAACAGGAGCCAACAGCATGTGCTCCCAGCCTAAAAGGCCAACCGTATCTGGGCTGCATCAGGAGAAGTGCGACCAACAAATTGAGGGAGGTGATCCTGCCTCTCTACTCTGCTTTCATGAGACTCCACCTGGATTACTCCATCCAGTTCTGGGGCCCTCAATACAAGAAGGGCATGGAGTTGTTGGAATGGAGCCAGAGGAGGGCTGTGAGGATGTTCACAGTGTTGGATCACATCCCCTATGAGGGCAGGATGAGAGCAGGGACTCTTCAGCCTAGGTAGGAGAAGATGACAGAGGGACTGTATAGTGGCCTTCCTGTACCAGAAGGGAGCCTACAGGAAAGCTGGGGAGGAACTTATTTTTATAAGGGCATGTAGCAACAAAGGGAAGTGGCTTTAAACTGGAAGAGAGTAGATTTAGACTAGATACTAGAAATTCTTTACTGTGAGAATGATGAGATGCTGGAACAGGTTGTCCAGCAATGTTGTTGATACCCCCTCCCAGGAGGCATTCAGAGCCAGATTGATTGAGCAGAATGGTGTAGTGAGATGTGCCCCTGCTTATAGCAGAGAGGTTGGAACCAACTGATGTTGGCAAGTTAGACTAGATGACCTTTGAAGATCCCTTCTAACACAAACTATTCTATGATTTTTAAGCTTGAGTAATGAAGTACTTCTTGTTCCTTTAGAAACTTATTCTTAAGCATGACAGGCAGGATTTAAAACCTGTGAATCAAATGAGCTGCACAGCACAGATTATTGAAAGTGAATTTACATCTGCCACCTTGGATAGATCCCTAGGCACACTGATGTACAAATTATGATGATGAAAATTTAAAGGAAGATGCATGTCTGTATGAAGCTAGCTGATGTGAAGGTGGAGAGGAAGTATTATTAAGAATACTTCTTTGGAAAATTTACTAGTTACATGTAGGTTATGATGAAAAATGGTTGACAGTTCCCAGTGTCATGTTGTGACTAATTAATTAGTGAGTTTAATGGTCAGTTGAAATAATATTGTTTGCATTGTATTCATGCCAGTTACATTCAGACCTCCTGCATACAGTTGTAGAAATATTTATTTCAAAAAAAAAAGCAGAGGAATCCAACTTCCTTGTAAATCCAAGAAACATTGTACACTTTCGCTCTAGACACTTTGTTATATTGTCTTTTTGTAAAGTGTGAGAGCTTGGTTAATGGTATCTGATGGTTCCTGTGTGTAACATAAAGCTAGAGTGGGTAGGCTTAAATTAGGTAGCAATTGTGAAACAGAAGGATTGATATGAATGTGTGCAAATGAGTTGAGCATTCCTAAACAGGTGCAAGTTTAGTTTAAATATGACAATGGCTTATAACCAAAATGTAATCAAGACTGTGCAATGCTTTCCAATATGTGTGACCATTCTTCTTCAACACAAACAAGGTAACCCATGCTCACCGACCTTTTGATGCCTTCTATCAATCAGTGTCTCTAATCTTTCCTTGATTATTTAATTGGGCTAATGGGGAGCTGCCACTTCCCTTTCACTCTTATGCTTTGGAAACAGGTCCATTTTGCTTCTGACTCTTTGTAGGAATTATTTTTTTTTTCCCCAGGTAAACATTGCCTCCACCGTGTTTTCTATTTCACTTGAGCAGAGCATGATCATAGAATCAAGTATAATAGGATATAATATTTCTAATAATGGTGAAAGCAGCTTCTCTAATATTCTCTCAGCTTCTTCTGTGCTGTATCTGCTTTTGGTCATCTTTAAGTTTCCCAATGTGAAAAGCATGACTGGGAGATGGCAGTAGACCCTTGTAATTAAGGATTCATTCAGAAGATAATTTTCTAAAGCTGTAGGTAAAACAACTTGAAAGGCTACAGAATGGGTAGCTGGGTTTCTACTGTTAATTGGCTTGGGTTGCTGGAGTGGAGTAATTGTGAAAGATAACCAAATGGGCAGCTAACTCCTTTTTATCTTTTTTAGTTGGTGTGTAGTTCAAAAGCTGTGATTTATGGAAGATGTAACTAAACACTTTAAAAGTATGCAACAATAAAGCACCAAAGCACTTCGGACTAGAAAGAGCTATATTTTATCAAGATGAGTAACTTATCGGTTTAATTTTTTCTTTCTGGTGGGTGAAGGACTAAGAATTACTCTATCAGCTGAGGCTGTTAAATCTTAAAAATATCAGATGTCACCTAAGAAAGGAAGCTTACCATTTGAAGGAAAGTTAATATTAGGATAAACTAAGTTCTTAAAATCCTGTATCCTGTTCTCTGGCACTTAATATTCAAAGACAATTTATTTTAATGAGCTTAGTAAGTGAAGCATCATACTGAGTAATCTGTTTTGGGTTTAGAGATGCACTCTTAGACATGTGAACTAATAACTTTTCCTTCATAAACAGTGGGAAAAAAAATTATGGAGTTTCTTCTTCAAGAGAAGTTCAAAGAGATGAAATAGATGAACATTTTTTCTTCCATCTGAAAGTTCTGGTGAAGAAACGTAATACTAATGGTGAAGCTTTTTGATTTTGCTGTGATGGGGGGATGAGAGGGGCTTGGAGGAAAGAAAGCTTCAGTTCTCAGTAGTGTTGGAGAGTAAGACATCAAACTGAAAGAGGAGCTCTATTACAGATGTTGCAAATCTAGAACAGTGAATGTAGAATTTGGTGGAAGAACTTCTGCTGTTTTATTTACAGTAGGGTCATTTACATAGCACAGCAGGAAAGGCAGTCAGACAAATGATGCAGAAAGCAATTCAGTCTTGATGTTCTTCCCAAGACAACAGCCAGCCTTCAGTTTGAGGTATATTCTTCAAGCACTTGTTATACCCTGAGCGTGGAAAAGAGAACAGTTTTTTATAAGGCTATCCATTTAGTTGTGTTCTTTCATTTAAGTGTAACTGGACAAATAATCATACTTTCTCAGTGATGGAGAAGTGGTATAGACTGACCAGAAATCAGTCAAACTGATTCTAGAACCCACTCACACAAAAATAAGTTGTTACTGTTATCTCTTTCAAGGTATTGTTATCTTGAGAATATCTTGCCAGCTCTTGTGAAGTGTGCTTTATTACATTTTAATGTGTGCTAGCTTCAGGTTTTTTGGAAGAAATGCTGTGAACTAAACCTCTTCTTATGGGGTATTGAAAAGTATGCAAGTGGAAAGAATTGCCATTGCTCTTGTAATTGAGGACTGATCCACTGAGATGGATTCTGAAGTGTAGTGATGACTTTACTTTGGAGAGCTCATTTTAACTGAATCAGTGCACAAGGATTTTGTAATAGGGTGCTGTACTATTGAGAAGCCCAGATGTCCCAGTATTAGAAAGTGAAATGAACTGTCCTAAAACTCAAAACCTTAGTTCATATTAGAAGCCGAAGACGGTCTGTGGACTTAAGTCATAACTGGTGTCTATTCCAGCTTAACAAGATTATACTAGTGAAACAGGAAGGAATACTTAAAGGCTTTACAGCCTGTGGGAAACCTGTAGATCAATAACATAGCTTCCTTTCTAGAAACAAGTTTGCTCTATAAGTCCCTAAACTTGTGGCAGAGCAATGGATTTACAAGGATGTCAGGCTCTTTCGGTTGAGCTGCTTGAGTCTTGGACAAGGTATTGAGGTCAAGTTTTTAACCTTTATAGCTGATAGCATTTGTATATACATTTTCAATTTTATATATAAAAATTCTGTAAACTATATACACTAATAATTTAATGCAAAGTTTGTACTGTGTATATGTCTACACTTTAAATCTTTAAAAAGGCAATTCTTGATTGTTCTTGTTTTTAGCCTGGAATTTGTTGTTGCACTTAAGAACTGTAAGAAACTTAATCTTAATATCTGGTGTTATAACACTAAATTAAGTAGTTTTAAAATGATCAAAACTGTCAGTGTAGATAATACTTTAAGTACAGTACTGTATTTTGCAGTAGAATTCAGGCTTTCTTTAATATAGGAGTATATTTTCAATCTAATACAGGAAAAAAAAAACCTACTGTCAGACATTGGAATTGAAACACTGTAGTTCATGCTTTGAACCTAACAACTCTGGAGTTCTGTCAGAGCACTAAACATAAGGAATGAGCAGCATTAAACTGCAAGTCATGAGCAAATGCAATATTGGTGGGCCAAAGCACTGCAGAGTGTTTGTCTTTGATAATGATTTGATCTTATTTATTGCCTGATCAGTGTGAGCTCTGTAAAATGAGTTAGATCGTTGCTATGTAAGTGAGTTGGGTGGAAGTTCTGAACTTTCTGGCTTAAATTTACCTTTTTTCTCCCCCAAAGTTGAACCTGTTGTCAGCTTAACAAAAGGACCAAACCCTCTCATTGATGGTGCAAATCAAACAATAGCAGCCATTTGTACAGCAGCCACTGGAAAACCTGCTGCAGAGATTGACTGGGAAGGAGGTCTTGGTGAAATGGAATCCAGCTCCACTTTGTTTCCAAATGAAACAGTGACAGTCATAAGTCAGTATAATATTGTCCCTACACGATTTGCAAGAGGAAGACGAATAACTTGTATTGTGAGGCACCCAGCTTTGGAAAAGGAGATGAGATTCTCTCATGTGTTGGACATACAGTGTAAGTATTTTTAAGTAGCTGTTGCTACTTGATGAATTTACTATAACTGTCTTTTATCTGTGTTTAGGTTTGATAGGGACGTGTTGAACATGTAATTCTTCAGAAAAAGAGAAAATAAAAATGCTTAGAAAAGCGTGTGATAAGGGATGAGCCAGGAGTAGAAGTCTAGGGTTTCTGTTGTAACTTAAAAAAAAGAAAAAAAGTCTAGTAACAAAGCTAAAATAGCATTGTTTGAGATGCTGGCTCATGGGTGAACTTATTATTCATAGTGTTATTGAATAATGAAAAAATTACAGATGAAGTTTGGTCTATAAACTGTTCACGGTGTCCTATGATTTCAGCAGTATTAAAGAAATCAAATAAAGGTTTATGGTTGTAATGATGAGTTTAAAGTATGACTTAAGGGAGGAGGGTATTGAGTAAGTTTAAAATTATACATAAAGCTTTTTCCTTTCTAATTTGCATAAGAAAGCAAGATTTTAATATATTCAGTACCAGTACTTGTTACTCAACTTTAAACTGTTCAGGTACCAGATTTGTTTAACAAATTTGTTTTAAATTGTTAAGCAATTTTGTTGAACAGTGGAATAAGCTGTTTTTAATTCATTCTTTTGATACTCTTATGACTTAAGGACTTCTGTTAGCCTTTAGCTATATGTTGTTTTGTTTAGTGGGAAGAAATCTCATGACTGGAAAACATGAACTTAGTTACATCGGTGTATGACTAAAGTCTCTTATGCATTTGTTCTGTCTGGCAAAGCTGTGTTCAGTTTGTGTAAGGATACTGTTGTGAACTGAGGCAGTCTTTGCTGCACCTCATTCCCCTCTTTCTGGAAGTAATGTTACTGTTCAGAACTTGAGACAACTTTCTTGCATAGGTAGTTTAACGCTTGGTAGATAAAGGCTTTGAACTTGTAAAGGATAAACGTTTTCTTATTGTCTTGTATGCACAAATGTCGTTGTCTTAGTAGAAATGAGCAATTGCTCGTTTGGACATACAGATCAGTTCTGATCACTGTTTTATTATCAGCGTTGAAATGTCTCAGATTTAAGTGAGACCAAAACAGAAGTGAGGACTACTTGCCTTGGCAGTGAATGAGATTGAAGCTCTGTATTTAAGAGAAGCAAGTAGACCTTAATATCTGAAAGTTACCACTAGCATGTAATTCAGAATCTGTAATGCCACTGCATATAAAGCAGTTAAGAGCAAACGAGATTCAGAGATTGTGTTGTAGTCTTTTCTTCCCTTCCACTTGCGGCTTTTGGAAATATTGCTATGCCTTTGCTGTAGGAGCTGTTACTAACTCGTAATGATGGTTCTTTTACTGTTTTTTTAACAATTCTGCAAGGTCTGTCTCACTTGTCTGAAGTGGTCCTCTTGCTTTTTAGTTGCAAAACAACATAGTTACACGTTACAATGGCAGTGGATAATGGTTAACCTTTTCAACTGGTGGGTGTGAACTTGATTTTCTAATTAGGTTGCTTTTCAAAACACTGCTTCTGATCACTTGCTGTATCTTACTAGTGAGAAGTAGCTTTGAATTACCAAAGAATATGAAAGGAACGCGAAATTGGTTCTTTCCTATAGAATTTCTTCCACTTTGCGTAAGTGGAACAGCTGTACCAGTTAAAACAACTGTATTATGTCCTTTTATTTTTTTTTCTGGTGGTTCTTAAAAATCAAAACTAAAACACAAAAATGAAAACCCTTTGCCTCTTGCATCAAGTTGATCATTACTCTGTGTTGAAAGAAAATATTGTGGATACTGATAGGTAAACTATTTTTTGGCAGATGCCCCAGAAGTTTCAGTAACTGGATATGATGGAAACTGGTTCATTGGAAGAGAAAATGTTCAGCTCAGATGTAATGCTGACGCAAATCCATTACCTATGGAATTCATGTGGACCAGGTAAATATTTACAAAAGAAGGACTTGTGGCATGATTATGGTGGTGTAATCTGAAGTGGTATTGTAAACTAAACAGACTATGTGACTTGTATTGGGTAGCATGTAGTGGTGTTAACTAGTCTTCTAAAAATAGGGTAGAGGATTTGTGTGTTGGAGAGGGTCCAGAGGAGGCCACAAAGATGATCAGAGGGCTGGAGCACCTCCCCTAGGAAGACAGGCTGGAGAAGCTGGGCTTGTTCAGCCTGGAGAAAAGACGACTGCAGGGTGACCTTACTGCAGCCTTTCAGTACCTAAAGGGAGCCCACAAACAGGAGGGGAATCAACTCTGAAAGGGTTGATAACTGCAGGACGAGGGGAAATGGTGTTAAGATGAGGGAGGGAAGGTTTGGGTTGGATGTCAGGGGGAAGTTCTTTACAGAGAGTGTGGTGAGGTGCTGGAACAGGCTGCCTTGAGAGGCTGTGGATGCTCCCATCTCTGGAGGTGTTCAAGGCTGGGTTGGATGGGGCCCTGGGCAGCCTGGTCTCCTATTAGATAGGAGATTGGCAGGCCCTGCATGTGTTGAGGGGTTGGAGATTCATGGTCCTTGAGGTCCTTTCCAACCCTGGCCATTCTGTGAATATGGATGGGTATATATTTTTGAAGTTCACAAGCCTGGACAATTTATTGTTACCACTACAATAAAATCTTTGATAGTTAAATTAGCATAGCCTGTGTGTTGGGAAACAACTATTTGATTAGCTCTGTTTTAATATTACATGAAGTAGATTCTAAACATGTGAAAAGACTTATCAATACCTGTGTTTTAAAATCTGTGAACTACAGTTGAGAAGGCTACTACTTCTTACTGAGTTGTGGAACTTATCATGTTTTTCAAAAGTATTTAAGTAATTTTTAAGACTGATAAATGTAGTATTCAGCTTAATGGAAGCTAAACTTTGAATGTATATCTCTAGTTAAAATAAATAAAACTTAATGTAGATGGGTGTTCTTCAGTTGTAATTCATTTCCCTGCGTTCCCAATGGCAGTTAAAAATTAGCATATAAAAATGATAATCATTATAGGGTTGAAAAGAAGAGGAAATGATAACTTGAGAATAACTGAGTGGCGGTTTTATAGGGAAATTAAGCATTACAGTCATGTAACAGACTAGATCCTAAACATAGGAATAGACATATAGAGTCAGTATTGCAGGATGTTGTGATTACACTTAAATGTTTTATCTATATGCTTAACTTAAATTTACTATGATGAGAGATTTCAACACACAAAAAAAACTGTTTAAAGTAATGCTGTTTAAAGCCAGGATTTTGAGAGCACTACTGCCTTTTTCTTCAGATGAGCCAGGTACTCATACTTTGATTTCAACTTGAGATGAGTTTATGAACTAAGCAATACAATCATTATTTACAGAAAAAATACGTATAGCTTTTAACACTTTAAGCTTTAGAAGTCACTATTAAGTTACTAAGGCAAACAGTGAACCAACTTACACATGAACAACTTAATTTACTGGAATAAAAGGAGTGTGCTCTTTCGCTTTGGCAAATATGAAATTGACCTGAGTAGCTGTAATACTAATGAATGTTGAACTTTTTAGGAGGAAAAAATTATGCATAAGGAAAACTTGAGTTCTTTAAGGAGACAAACTAGATGTATTGAAAGTGTGTGCTTTGTAGTATTTTTCAGATCATAACTTTTCTTGGTGTGGTATCCTAGAAGCTTGAATTGCTGCAAGTGCAATGTTATCTTTGCTTCTTAAGGTTGTAAGGAATATTTTAAAATGCTGTGTGTATTGAAAGCTCTGTTCTACTGCTTACATTTGTAACAAAGTGACTATAGTATTTTTCAAAATGAATAATTTAAAATATATTGCTAATCATTTGTATCAGCTTCATATAGCTGAAGTAATTCTAGGCAATAGTCTTCAGAAAAAAGGAGGAAGACTTCACTTGCTTAATAGTAAACCTAGTATGGTGTTGAGGTGGCTTTTGTTTTGGTGCTATTTATCAAATCTTATTTGCCAAATGCTTGTATGGTATGTGGTCCAGGTGATCATGCTTGATTATGAAGTTAGTTCTACTTAACTTCTAATGGTTACAAAAATGAAAGCAAAATGAGATGCAACAGGATTGACTTAGGCATTAGATTAGGCATGTTTCAATAGGCACTTGACAGCTATGTTAAAATAATTCCAATTTCTGTCTTTTTTTTTGTTGTTCTCTCAGAGTTGTTATTGAAATTATGTTTAGGATGCTTTGGGAAAATAGTAGTTTTGGAGAAGGTAGTTGATTTTTTTGAGTGCTTTTTATCCAGTTGATTCCTGAAATGTATCACTAGGCATCACAGTTAAGATCCTGTAATGTAGGAGAGACAGATATTAGGGATAAGGGAAGGCAGGTTGCGAGAGAAGAAACTGTTTCAACTCCTGCTGGGAAATGTTAGTGATTTTTATCCTGTAAATTAAGCTTGCACTACCAGAAATATTCTTCAGTATGATAGCTGAAATGGCTGAAAAAGACAGGTATATTATTTGACAGCAGTATAAATTCATTCTAGTTTGACTGTTAACTTCTACAGCTTGATTTAGTTTGTTCCTCCATTGTTTTGAGATGGCTTCCTTAGTTGTATTAGTTTGTAGGTATCTTGCTAGTGCCTTACTAGCCTAGTAGTAGATGTATTTTAACCTAATTACTTTAGGACTTTGGTCTTGAAGATTTACAGCTGAAGTATAGCCAACTGTTTTCATTTTAGGCTGGATGGGCAGTGGCCTGAAGGACTGCTGTCTGTCAACAATACTCTGCAGTTCAACAGCCCACTGACTTACAACTACACTGGGACTTACATCTGTAAGGTGACTAATTCCCTTGGTCAGAGAAGTGATCAGAAGACCATCTACATATTAGGTAAGTCTTACTTCTTAGCAGCAACAATATGTTGACTCTAATAGCAAATTTCAGGTGTCAAGTGGCTCTTCAGTACGAGTCTTTTGGTTGTATGTAAGTTAAGTATGGAGTTCAGATCTACAGTGAAACTTGAGATTAAACTGGCTCTTCATAATAGCAATGAAGAGTGGAAGTTCTTATGGTTGAGTTTTTTGCCGTAGTGCCTCTGAGGTTTACTTTTTGGTAGATTAAATTGTTTTTTCCAATTTTACCTTGTGTTTTAATAAGACTTTGACTGCAGTAAACAATACCTGGTCCATAATTAATTGAAACAGATGTTAATGGGGAACAGCTGTCTTCAGAGAATTAAAAGATCCTCTGTATTGGGGAAGTTGAGGTTATATTCAGTGCATGTTCATTGCTCTTAACTGTCTGCTTTTCTCAGAAGGTAATAGTAATCATAAAGATAAGTATTTTATGCTCCTATTTGCTCATCTGCATGGCATAATATAGGAAACTGGTTCTTCTTTTTAGCACTTTTTCTGTTGGGGAAAAATACTTGTATCTATATAACAAAATACTGTGACACCTTCTCTGAGAGAACACCATGACTTAACAAGGTATACTTGAACAGCATTGTGCAAGTGTGAAAAAGCTCTCCCAAACTCAACAATGGATTGTTTAAATTAATATATTAGCACTTATTGATCTGGGTAGTTATCACTTAAGGAAACAAGACAGGAAAAACTAGTATTTCACTTCTTGTGTGTTGTTGCTTTTCAGTAAGTTCCCAACAGTAGTTATTTCATAATATGAAGGAGCATTAAAATGTCTTCTGACAGGTTACAAGCTACATGAAAGGAAACACAAATGATTTCCTAAGAACATAAAACTAAACACCAGTGCTCAAAAGGTTGAGATGAGAGTGAAAACTTCAGATAAAAACTGAAGATGGAGGATGCCTACAGCCATGTCTCAAAAATTCATTTTGAGTAGATAGCAGCATTTTTAGAAGGGACAGTGATTCAGTTAATCATACTGATGTAATCATGCTGCATGTCAGTCTTTGCTCCATGGAGGGCCTTTGTGGAGAGCTGTTCTAAATAACTATTTAATGAGCTAGTTAACTGGAAATGTCTAAGTACTTGCAGACAATGGAATTACTTAAAAACAGAACATTAAATATTACATGAAACTTGATTCATGGCTGTGTAGCAGTCTGAAGATATTGTTCTGTTGTAAGAATTAAATCATGAAAATTAGCAGGATGTCATTTGATTGATGAAATATGCTTCTGGAATGTAGCATTCCAATGCTCTGTCATGAGTGCTGTACTAATGTTAAAGAGGGGAGAACTTGACCCAATTTTGTAACTGTTGGAGTTGTCAATTCTGTGAATGCTGTATGCTGTTAGTAGAACTTTTTTCCCCATGACTAGAACACACAAAAATATAAGACTGCGAATATAATTTGAATGATAGTGTTTACTAACATACTAGAAGGGCAAGTATGAATTCTCAGACTAAGTTTTTCAAAAAGTAAAGTAGAAATGCATGCCAGTTGAGCTATACTTTAAGGTTTCTTCTAGCCCATGATAAACACAACAACTAGAACTAGTTTACAGCAAAGATAGTTAAGCTGCATGAATGTCTTTGTGCCTCTTTCTCAGTTTTACTTAGTACCTCTTGTTTTTTGCAACAACTACAGTGCAAATCTTTAAATTTTCTTTGTAAGGTTCCATTTTGAAACTTCCTATTCTTTAGATCATTCAAGACTATGGTTCTACAAGTTATGTGAACCAGTAATAAGAAACATTTTAGTTGAGGTGAATTAAATCTCGCTTCTTAAAAGCATAATCTTTATAATCTTGGGACAGACAGCATCATGAACATCCAAGAAAATATGGGTGACTTTTCAGGCAAATGAAAATCTGGTGCTACACCAGTGCAAATAGTGTTCAGATAAGTCATATGCATTAACTAACATTAAGTATCTAGCATATTTGTAATCTCTTCTTAGAACTACTTAGAACAACAAAATAATTAAAAGCAATGTGTATCAAGTTAAGGAAGAGTTGATTAAAGAAGCAGTGAGGCGTTCATCAAGTCCAAAAATTGTATTGCTTTCAGAAATTAATATCCATCTCATTTAACTGTGACTATAAGAGTAGCTTTTATGTGTTAACTGGATTATTAAACAACTGAAATGTGCTTAAAATTATGTAGGGTGAGTAGATTGTATGAAATATCCATTATATAATAACCATTCTGGCTTCTTTGTGGAGGGGACAATCTGATAAGCATAAAATGAGACTGAAATAGTAAAATTTAAAGCAAGCTGTTTACTCCCTTTTTACTCTTAATTCTATACTTAACTGATAGGTACTATCTAGTCATGAGTGACACCTGTGAATGTCCTTCTCTCACCATGCAAGCATGTAGAGACATCGTTTAATTGTTTATTTCTCTATCTTAATCATTTTCCACTGTATAAAATCTGGCAAGAATGTTAATTGAAGCTCGGAAGCTAGTGGACAAAGCTATGTTATCATATTATCTTTCAAATTTCAATAATGAACCTGTCAACGGTGATTTGTGGAGTTAATGTTTCTGAGAAGTCATGATACTGGTAATTATAAAGCTTTAGGAAGTAGATAGCTATTGATTTGAAATGTGTCATAGATTTGGAGTGTAACCTGAGCAAAAATATTTTTTGCCTTAATTTTTGCCTTAACATGCATTAGTCTTTTAAAATTGTTTATAGGCATTGTTTTACTTTGACCTTTAGCTTAATACCTTTGAAGTCAGGAGACTATAAGAGTAGCTGACGAGGATTAAATTGTAGTTCTAGTAAATTATACTAGATTGTAGCTACAGTAAATAATCTGTCTTGATGAATTGAGCAATATTAAAATGGTATTTGAAGCCGGGGGGTTTTTTTTATTTACTGGTACAGATATCTTAACTTCCCAATGTTTTGTTCAGTGATGTGAAGATCTTCTGTATAGTTGTTCAGCAAAGGAAAGTAAGTCATGCTGCTTATGGGATTTGGAGGTGATCAAGTATTGTTAAAATTCCTGATCCAGCACTACAACAACAAGACTTCCAAAACTAGTTTACAGCTTAATGTGTCAACCACCTAATCTGGTAGAACATATTGACTTCCAGTACTTTGTGTAAAACAGGATTCTTATTTTCCTGGCAATTTGTTCCCTTGCTTACATTGTTGTGGCCTAATTCCTTTGCATTTGTGAAGTGACTGGTGAGATTTTTGTTCAGATAAGCTCATACTTGCTTCTTTCGTCACCTCCTTCAAATCTCCTTTGAAGGAGACAGTTTTTGTTAAAAGTAAAGCCTAGATTTACCTAGCAGTTCTAGGAAGATGAGGTTTGTAAATACAGAGCCACTTTATTGTAAGGGTGGCTTTTCTAAGGACTGAGGAAACAGATTTTGCTCATTATTTTAGCTTCTTATGTTCTTTCTATATACATCTTTAGAGGGAAGCCCTGTGAACAGACTTTTTTTGTTCTATTAAACTATAAAAACACAAACTAAAAAATGTAAGAGATTAGCAAGCTTTTTTCTGTGATATAGAAAAAGGTTTCAAGATATGCTAAATGCAAACTTAAATGTTATCTTTAAACTTCCTTTCTGAATACATCTTGCAAGCCTGAGGTTATGTTGTTGAAGTATGCTGAACTTTGAAAATAAGTTATTGACTCTGATCTAAAATTGTCAGTTGCTTCTGACCAATCTCAAATCTTCCAATCTATCATGCTGCTGAAGTAGAAAAGAGGAACAGACTTCAGGTAGAATCCTAAAATTGCAAAGATTGGAAAATCCAAAGAGAAATGTTTATTTTATACACAGGTTCTATACTGGATTTTGAAAAACTCTGGGGAGAGGGTTATGGTCATTACCTACTACCTGATTTTTAGAGAGGGAATGTTTGGGTATACACCAATGATCTGAAGAAAAGACAGTTTCAGATGTTCAGAGTGCCTTCTTTTATAGAAAGGCTACTTCCCTGGCTGTAGTAGGGGAGTTGAAAAATAAACTTTTTAGCAGTTAGAACTACTTCTATAATGCTCAGTTATGTAACACAATCCAAAAGTATTGGCTCCCTATTTATTTTCTTGGAGGCTACAGTGAATACAGAGAACACAATAACACTTACAGAGCAGTTCTCAGCTGCAAAACATATTTTTCAGTGTAGTCACCACCATTAGCTGATTTGCACAGATGATCTGATCTAGATGTTCTTCATTTCATGGTGACAGCTGTGTGTGGCCATCCAGAGCATGGCTTGTCTTTCATGTTACTGTTGCCACTGCTGAAAGTACCACCCACCATCTGCCTTGCCGTACTCTCATCCACTGTTTGATCTTCATAAACATTCAACAAGCATCAGTGTCAGAGGGAGCCATTTTTCTGCATGGAAGAATTCAATTATACCCCTTTGCTTCGTATACATTTCATCAGATGCCATTTTGTCAGACAGCCTCTCTGCTGCCATCTGCTGCAAAGCAGCAGAATGTTGATGGGAAGGTTCAACCTTTACTGCTCTACCACCATCATCCTCCTCTACTGTGGACTGATCTAATAATATAGGAGTCATTAATTTCAGAGCAACCCTTGTGCTAAATACAAAATCACTTAGAGTTGAAAAATATTGTGCTCTGCAGTTGGTTTTTACAGTGATATACTGGGTGGTACTAAAACAGAACTTAATTTTTTGAAGGTAATTATCTGTCTGATTCTAAGGGTGGCCTATCTCTTTATTTACATGTTTTTAGGACTTAGCTTCTGTTGACTTACCATATAATTAATTAATGTGGAGTTTAAACAGTGTGTTGTGGAAAGCATAAAGAATTCAAAGCAACAAGTTGCTGATGAGGCGAAGTATTACTGTAGTGAAGACAACTAGTTGGCATGTAAGCATCTAGTTTTTCTAGGTTGTGGTGGTCAAATACACTGAGGGGAATTGTCTGAAGCATGCTTTCTAAGATATGTAATACAAAG